TTCCACCCTCCCTCCTGTGAGCCTTCACTCCCATCTGAGCCTCTGTTTCAGCTGAAGCATGTGCTCATCCTCAGGCAGGGCATGGAGGAGGGAACAAGTTTGAAGATCTTCTCTATGCTGACAGCCTCCAGGAAATGACCTCTCACTCTTTCTGCATCAGTTCCTCCGGGCACCTGAGGATGTCACATGTCACAGCTGCAAATCTTCCTGTCTTTACAGCTCCTCCCATGTAGCCACCTCACTTTCTGAGACACACACACACACACACACACACACACACACACACACACACACAGCTCTGCCTGTCACTCCTCTCTCATTCTCCACTCCAACTTATACAGAATGAACTGGAATGTGTTTGTCAATCGCATTTGTCAGGCTCCTTGGGTTGCTTGTAAAGTAGAAGATACAACCCCAAATGACTTAAGGACCAAAGAGCGTCTGTAAAATGCCATGGATTCAAAACAGGCCCGTGTTTTCTCTGTGACTGGGCTCTGGTTTCTTCTGCACCCGCTTCAAGCTGACTTTGCCCAAGGGGAAAGCAGAGATGACCACCAGTATCTCAATAACTATGGTAGAAAGAGGATATCTCTTCCTTAGCAGCCCTTCAAGCCTTCTAGAACTCATTCCTACTAGGCCTGAAAAGGTTACATGCTGAACTCTAAAGTAAACATAGCATCGAAGATGAGGAAAATACCTGTGGTTCAATATCAAGGTATTATTCCCGCAGAGAAAGCCTTGGCAGAAAGGCAGAGGAGTGAATGAAGAGCAGAGAGCAGGGCCATCGCTAAACTAACCAGGGAATGTGTGTTCCCATCTACCACCATCCTTCCTGTGTTGTTCATGGAAGTCCCACTGTGGGAGTGACAACAGGAACCACACAGGTGAAGAAGGGGGTATGCCCAAAGCAAGCACTTTGCTGGTATACCACTAGTCTCTTCCCACATGGAGCCTCTGCCCAAATCTATAGCAAGCACCCAGCTTGTCTGTGTGGATGGCCAAGGCTCAGCAGGCAAGTGGAGGTAGGAGGAAGCTTGAGGGCATGAGTCCAAGGTGACCTTTATTCTTTCTGAACAGAGAGACACTTGAGCCTGTTTCTGCCACAGTCTTAGCACCAGTGACACGGGGGAGAGGACTTACTTTATTTAACTTTCTGTTAACACCATGACACTTCATTAATGCTGCTCAGGACACCATGACAGATCCACATAAGCAAAGTTCCATCAAGTGTGACCTGCAGGAAGAATGCATGCTATGGCAGAGAGGTTCCCATGATCCTCCCCTGGCAGATCCTTGGCAAGTCTTGCCCTCCATTTGAGCCTTCATGGTTGGTCTTCGGAGACTTCAAGGGCTACATAGAATCTGACTCCACTTCTCCTTCTTTGAGCAGTTGTCTGGCTTTAGAAGTCTTCCTCAGGCCAGCAGGGTGTCTCACGTAGTTTACAAAGACGGTGCTGACAAAAGAAGGTTAAGAAAGCAAATGTCGTTACCTGCTCACCAGACATGGCTCTGTTATCTCAAATGAGCCTAAGCTTCGGCAGCCTGTGGGGGTGAAGAGACTCCAGACACTTAGGTTGTCTCCTCCTTGCAGGGAACTCAGAGTGTGTTCTCTGAGGTGCCACAATGCATTTTCTTCAGGGCAGAGTCAGAGAATCAGAGACTTTAGACATCCAAACCAATAATTTTGCCCATCTAGTAACTGAAAGATTGGGGGGGGGTGATTATTTTAGTCCTTTCTACGTGCTCCATGTCAGTCCTTTGTTGGCAGCACAGTTGGCAAAGGTGCTCTTCCATCCTGCCTGTGTCCCTTCACTCTGGAGATCATTCCCTTTGCTGTGTGAACACTTTTACATTTCCTGTTTTCCCATGAAAATCATTCTTAATAACATTTTTATCTGTTAGAAAATGTTTAATCTGTTTTATTCATATAAAATCCCCATATGTGATGTAAAAGTAGAAAGGGGAAGTGGGTGAGGGGTCAATATGATCAAAGCATCTGAATGGAGATGCCATTATGAAATCTCCACTTTTTACAATTAATATACACTATTATTTAAAAAAAATGACCCTGCTAGTGAGAGTAAAAATGAATGAATTGTTTCTCTTATTGCCCTCAGTGGAGAGACAGAGGCACAGTGAGGGCACATACTGGGATTGGAAACTGGGAATTCTGACTCCAGCCACAGATCTGGCTGGAAGCCAAAAAGGGTGTGCTAGCAGTGTCCTGGCTTCCCCCTAGAGGCTTATGGCTTATCTGGGAACTTAACAGCCCTGGCCAGTTCCTTTTTTTTTTTTCTTTTTCCTTTTCCTTTTTTAAAATTTATTTATTGATTGATTTTTATTAATTGCAGTTTACTCACTTTGTATCTCAGCTGTAGCCCCCTCCCTTGTCCTCTCCCAATCCTACCCTCCCTCATCTTCTCCCATACCCCTCCCCAAGTCCACTGATAGGGGAGGTCCTCCTCCACTTCCATCTGACCTGAGCCTATCAGGTCTCATCAGGACTGTCTGCATTTTCTTCCTCTGCGGCCTGGTAAGGCTGCTCCCCACCTCAGGGGGAAGTGATCAAAGAGCCAGCCACTGAGTTCATGTCAGAGACAGCCTCTGTTCCCCTTACTAGGCAAACCCACTTGGACACTGAGCTGTCATGGGCTACATTTGTGCAGGGGTTCTAGGTTATCACCATGCATGGTCCTTGCTTGGAGATCAGTCTCAGAAAAGACCCCTGGGCCCAGAGTTTTTGGTTCTGCTGCTCTCCTTGTGGAGCTCCTGTCCCCTCCAGGTCTTTCTATCTTCCCCTTCATAAGATTCTCTGCACTCTGCCCAAAGTTTGGCTATGAGTCTCAACATCTGCTTTGATACCCTGCTGGGTAGAGTCTTTCAGAGGCCCTCTGTAGTAGGCTCCTGTCCTGTTCCCTGTTTTCTCCCTCTTCTGATGCCCATCCCATTTGCCTTTCTGAATGAGGATTGATCATCTTCCCCAGGGTCCTCTTTCTTGATTAACTTCTTTAGGTGTACAGATTTTAGTATGTTTATCCTATATTACATATTTAATATCCACTTATAAGTGAGTATATACCATGTGTGTCTTTCTGCTTCTGGGATAGCTTTACTTGGGGTGATCTTTTCTAGTTCCCACCATTTGCCTGCAAATTTCATGATTTCCTTGTTTTTCATTGCTAAGCAGTATTCCATTGTGTAAATGTACCACAATTTCTGTAGCCATTCCTCAACTGAGGGACATCTGGGTTGTTTCCAGGTTCTGGCTATTACGAATAAAGCTGCTATGAACACGGTTGAGCAAATGTCCTTGTTGTATACTTGAACATCTTTTGGATATATACCTAGGAGTGCTATAGCTGGATCTTGAGGTAGCACTATAACTAATTGTCTGAGAAAGCGCCAGATTGATTTCCAAAGTGGTTGTACAAGTTTACATTCCCACCAGCAATGGAGTAAGGTTCCTCTTTCTCCACATCCTCTCTAGCATGTGTTGTCACTTGAGTTTTTTATCTTAGCCATTCTGGTGGGTGTAAGGTGAAATCTCAAGGTCATTTTGACTTGCATTTCCCAATGACTAAGGTGTTTCTCTGCCATTCGATATTCCTCTATTGAGAATTCTCTGTTTAGCTCTGTACCCCATTTTTATTGGATTATTTGATTTGTTGCTTTTTGACTTCTTGAGTTCTTTATATATTTTGGATATTAGCCCTCTGTCAGAGAAAGAATTTGAGAAGTTTCTTTCCCAGTCTTTAGGCTGTCATTTTGTTTTGATGACAGTGTCCTTTGCTTTACAGAAGCTTTTCAGTTTCATGAGGTTTCATTTGTTGATTGTTGATCTTAGAGCCTGTGCTGTTGGTGTTCTGTTCAGGAAGTTGTCTCCTGTGCCAATGAGTTCAAGGCTCTTCCCCACTTTTTCTTCTAACAGGTTTAGTGTGTCTGGTTTTATGTTGCAGATGGGAAGAAAGCCCAGAGAAAGAAAGAACAGGACTCACAGGAGGGCCACAGGGTTGGTGGTTGTGATGATTAGTACAGGACAGTCTAGAGCCACCTTTGGGCCCATAGAGGAGGTAGCTTCTAAGATGAATTAATAGAGCAGTGAAGGTCTACCTCAAATGTGTCCTGCGTTGCACCACAGGGATCAGGAATTTATTCAAGACAAAGTAAGAGAAACACTAGCACTGCTTATGCTTCCTGATTACAGATGTAATATGACCCCTGTTCTCTTGTAGCCATGCCCTCTTTGCCTGGTACCCTCAAACCAAAACAAACCCCTCCTTCCTTCCTTCCTTTTTTCCTTCCTTCCTTCCTTCCTTCCTTCCTTCCTTCCTTCCTTCCTTCCTTCCTTCCATGGTTTCCTGTCAGCTGTTTGGTCAAGCATTAAGAAAAGCAATCAATATATTGGCTGAACTGCAATTTAAGTCCATCCCTAATGCACAGCTCAGGATGTCTGTCCTATGGAGTGGGCTATTCCAGGAACTCCATCCTAGCACTTACCTCTATGGAAGAAATTTCTTCGAGAATCCCTTTATAACAAAAATCAATGCAGAATGCCTCAGAGTATCATTGTAATCATAATTGCTGTGGAGTGGCTATCTCAGGAACCTCATTGTTCCTGGGTGACTTCATTGATCACTGAGGAAGATATTCCACAATCATAGAAACCTTAATAACTGAAGTATATGATTACTTAGAAACCCCTTTAAGGCACCAGCCACCAAGGACTAGACAACTCCAAGAATTTCTCTTTAGCCTAAATCAGAGGGTCCTAGAGACCCACTAACACATAACCTCTCGAGAATGGACTGTCTCAGGAACTCCACTGGAATACTGTAAAACTGGCTTTCCAAGAACCCAGCTTCAGGAAGGTTTATCCAGGCATGGGCTCTGTGGCTCTAGGGTTTCATATCCATTTTCAGAATCCTTTCCAAAGGATATTCAGCATTGAAGAGGGGAGAGGATTGTGGAATTCTGGGATGGATATGAGAAAGAAAACTTACTTCCAATCAGCCAATTGATGAAAGAAGCCGGGAAGCTTTTGTTCTGGAAAAACAAAATAAAAGCAGAAAATTCACAGTATGCACCTACTATGTGCCAGGCTTTGGGTCTCCTGTAAACCTGACATCAACTTTGCAAAAAAGGATAACAGACAAGGAAAAAATACTCAGAGATGGGGGTAGCTTTGCCCATGTCAAATACTGAATTGTCACAACACTGTTTCTAAACTCTGGGCTCTGTCCTTGGACAGGTGAGGGCTGAGAGGCAGTAGACTGTTGACCTCAAGATCCCAATCTGTGGAAGAATTCAGGAACTGCCCCAAGTTCCTGGCTATGCCACAGCCTGGAAATATTTAGGATGTGGAGGATATAGCCAAGGCTGCCAGGACCACTGCCCCAGCACCCTGAAGGCTCCATGTATGATGATGCCAAGCAATAAGCTTGATTGGTTGTTTAATTTTTTTTAATTGGGGGCAAAGCAGAATAATCCAGTGGTTTTTTTGGGGGAAGGTTCTTCCTTCCTTCTTTTATTTCTTTCTTTCCTTCTTTTTTTGTTTATATGTATGATCTATGTATGCTAGGTACTTTTTCACCTAACTGTTAGTTCAGATTCACAGTACTGAACACCATCAATTCAAGTATACATTACTCAATGGGCCAGTAAGACATTTTAAAACTTGCCAGTTAAACTATGCTAACTGTTAAATAGAAGACACCAATTCCAAGAATGCTATGGCACAGGGAAACATGTGTCTTGAGACAGGTTGTGATAACTGTGTGAGGCTATGAAAATCACCTTCCCCACACACCTGACAGACAAAAACAAAAACAAAAAAACAAAAAACTGGGGTTCAGGGTACGGTGCTTGAGGCTGCATGGTCATTCAAAATCAAAGCTCAGGCTGGCTCTCTTGGTAGGACACATTGGGCACATTCTCAGCTAAGGAGACCTCACGTGGAGAGACCTGGATCCTCTGAGTCCTCAAGAGAAATTGGTTGTTCATACCTTAAAGTCCATGTGATAAGAGCGTTCGTACAGCAAGGGTTGTGGAGTATTGAGCACGTTGTTGCTCCCCAGCATCGCTAATGAGGCAATGTCTGATGGAGAGAAGGACACAGGTGGCAATGGAAAGGACAGGGAAGACATGAGACACTCAACTGATTGAAACAGAAGCTCATAAAACTCACTCAGTCCTTCCTGTCATAAGCAGGTGTGGCTAAAAGAGAGGCTATTCCCCAACTATTGAGTATGTGCTGAGGACACAGAGCCCCTCCATCATCCAGCACAGGGTGGTGGTGCCCTCACTCTGGCAATGGCAATCCACTTCTACAAAGCAGATTCTCCTTTTCCAGGCCCACCAGACTCCTTTCTTCCCTCGTACAGTATTTGCCTTCACCCTTCCACTCCTCTTTCCATTCATCTGCTTATTTTTTCTTTCCCCTCTTTGCTTTCCCTTTTTTTCCCTTTTTTTTCTTTCCCTTTTTTTCCCATATTGGTAGCTTATTTTTTCCCCTTGACTTGGTCAGTGTCCGTCTTGCCTCCCTTCACTGTCCTGCACATCTGCTAACTGACCTTTTTTCCCATTCATCACTTCTCAGTCACTGAGAGATCACACGTGAGCACCGCCATCTTCCTACCTGTTTTCTATCCCCCATTCCACATTTCTGATTTCCCACCCAATAATGTCCACAACATCCCTACCTTCCCTTTCCATTTCACACACCAACAGAATTTATTAAGGGTGATTGCTACTCTGTGCCCAATCGAGGATGCCAGACAAATGGAAGGGCAAAGCAACCAGGTTGCCCTCAAGGAGTGCTGGGCTACTGAACAGTCAGGAAGTAAACATTTCCACACAATACAGTGACTAGTAGGTTGGTGCACCCAAAGCTATAGGAGTCCTGAGGAGGGGGCTCTGCTGGGAGAGAGTTCCAAAGGCTTTGAGATGCACCAAACATGGTGATTACACTGAAGGGTGATGCAATATCCCAGACATAGAAAGCTGGACTGGGAAGTCCTACAGAACTAGCCATTGTATCCCCAAAATTGTGGGGGATATGGAGGTGGCTTCAGTCACTCCTCTAGAGGAGGATGAAGGGAACACTGGGGACTTAGCGCCTGGAAAGATCTTGAAGATATGTTCTAAGGTCTGCACTTGACCCCTAGGAAATGGGAGAAGCGAGGTATAATTCAGAAGGATCTCTGTAGCTGCTGTGTAGGAGTAGATGTGGTTGTTAGTACAGCAGCCGACACAAGAACAATGCACAGACAGCAGTTCTACTTACTTCTGAGAATGGTCAACTGTTGGTTGATGATGTGGAACCAGAATCGGACCACTGGGCACAACTGCAATAGAGAGGATCAGAGGCCTTGCTAAGAGGATGCTTGTTATTCATACCTAACCAATATATACATTTTGGGTCCTTTGTAATCTAAGACATGGCAGGACAAATCTCTCACATAAGATGGAGAAGGTCTATCATAAACATGTCTCAATCTCCCTCTTACACAGGTCTAAGTCGCCTGCTACACAGTTACCTCTCAACCATTGTCTTTTTCTCTGTCCCTTCTACAGAAGCAGGGGCCTTGACAAAGGATGAGAGAGGAGCTCTGGGAGGTTGCATAGCTCAGGAATGAAGCTGTCCCCTGCCTCTGCCCTTATGGGCTAGTCCCCTGTCCCACTAGCTACAGAGCTTTCGCCACAACTCATACCAAGGGTCTGCCAGGGCCACATTGTCAGACTTACTATTCTGGGCAAGGAGATGTTCAAGGACCATTTCATCATTGATTCCATCATTTTGGAGACCACGCTGAAGAAGGGAAAGGGAAACATTGGCGGTGATCATTGCCACTAAGGACTTTGAAGTACTCTGCTATACACTCCGAGTAATGGTTATGTCTCTATTGTTAAATCAGTGAGTGGATCTCAACCTGTCCTTTGTGACCCCTTTGGGGGTCAAACAATACAATCACAGGGACCAGATACCAGATATCCTGCATACCAGATATTTTATAATACAATTCATAACCATAGCAAAATTAGAATTATGATGTAGCAGTGACAATTTTATGGTTGTGGGGAGTCACCACAACATGGGGAACTCTGTTAAATCGAAGAAAAATGAGAACCACTGTGTTAAATAAGCAAGTGTGCGCTTTCAGACATCCCCAGTGAACCTAGTTTAGGCCTCTTAGGTGGCCACTGATGCCTTTTAAATACGTCACTTATCTACTCTTTTTTTAATTCACTCCCAAATCCACGCATGCCCATCCATCCACCAATGCACGTATGCACTGATTTATCTTCCATCCAGCCAACCAGTTTTCCCTTCCATCCCCTTCGTTTTCTTTCACATATCTTCCATGGTCTTGTTCACCAGTGTGTCTTCAGGAACAACAGTGTCTTCTGGCTCAGAATGTGCTGGATAAGTGGATGCCAAATATAAGGCAACTTCTGTGCTAAAGAGCTCACACAGGCACACTGGGAGATAGCAGCCCAGCATGAAAAATAACATGACAGAGTTCCTACCCAGGACCTCTCCATGAGAGTTGGGAAACAGGAGCACCCAATATCCCCCACGGGTGGGTGCTGCCAGGGAGGTGTGTACTTCTGGCCCAAAGACATCCCCTTCTGCTTGGGATTCCAAGCTCCTTGAGACAGAAGCTTGATGGTGTGTGATGCTATGTGCACACGTATGTGTGGTCGTGTGTGTGTGTGTGTGTGTGTGTGTGTGTGTGTGTGTGTGTGTATTCATGAGTGATTAAACAGAATTAAAACACTAGTGGCATCTTGGTCAGATCCCATGAAGCCTGGTATCTACTTCATGCATGGCACCATCACACACCATCCCCTGGGTGGTGCCCAGATCTCCTGGTTTGTACCTACCCTGTTTTCACTTTGATCCTAGTGAACACTGCCTGGCAGTTCTTCACGGAAAATGAGACTTGGCCAGGCTCAGTCTGTTGCAATTCCAAGGGGATCACGAGGCTCACATCCACTGTGGAGCCGCTGAGAAATGAGAGCATCCTGGGCACAAGGGAGAGGGCTGTTAGAAGCCAAGTGCTCGTCTGGGAATTCTCTAAACGGTGGCGCTGGAACTTGCAGGCAGGTGGAGGCATGTGTGGGTGAGAGATGACTGTTATACATACTTTATAAAAGGATCCCTGATATCCTATGTATATTTCTAATTTGTCTTTATTATATGTAGACATAAAGCCAACGACATAGTTTATTGGAATAAACGCTTATTGATACCTCAAGACTCAAAAAGCGGTAGTAAAAGGCTGCCTCCTGCGCTGTCCACCTGGAGCTCTGCTGACCTCATGCACATCATCAGCGTTATTATCTCCTCCTGGAGTTACATGCATGCCTACCCCTGTGGGATGTGGTGCGTGTGTGTGTGTGTGTGTGTGTGTGTGTGTGTGTGTGTGTGCGCGCGGTGCATGTGATGGCATGTATCTGTATGTGTGTGTGATGGTGTGAGTATGTGGGATAGTTTGTGTGATGGTGTGTGACAGTGTGTGTAGGTATGTGATGTTATGTATGTGTGTGTATGCATGTGTGATTGTGTGTGTGCTGGTGCTATAGTGTGTATATTATGATGATGATGGTGTGTGAGAGAGAATAAGGGAGAGAGAGAGAAAAGAGAGATGGTATGTGTTTGATGGTATGTGTGTGTGGTTGTACTGTGATGGTGTGTGTGTGTGTGTGTGTGTGTGTGTGTGTGTGTGTGTGTACCTGAAACTCATCTATTTGGTTAGGCTGGCCAGCCAATGAGCTTCAGGGATCCATCTATCTCTGCCCTCACCAGCAATGGGGTGACAGGCACAGCTCATGAATCAGATCTGAGTTCATGTCCTCAAGCTTGTGCCACAGGCACTTTCCCATCTGGGCTCTCTCCCCATCTTAATGTGTAATCTGACTGAACTTCTCTGAGTTTCTATCAGTTGTTCAGTTAAAGGGGCATAATGGCTACCCCGCCCTCAGAAGCCAACAGTGGGGATTGAGAAGAATGCTCAAACGAACTGCTGCCCAGAGCCTGGACTGTATGAAGCACTCAAGAATGTTAGATACATTTCATTACCGTCACCAGGTCTCTGTGAGATCATTTAGCAATGTTGATTAGCAGGGTGGTGATGCAGCTCAGTAACCGACTGCCTGCCTAGTACATGTGAGGTCCTGGGTCCCACACTCAGCACAGTAAGTAAGCAAACAGATAACAAGCTAGAAACTGTGCTCATGAGACCTTCTAATAACTAGAGAATTGACAGGTTTATTACTTGTACCAATCACAGAATTACTGAAAGGAGTGACGCAGTGAACAGTCTGGTGGTAGCTCACAAGTGCTGTGGTGTATGTGTGTCGTGGAGCATTAACTACCTCTCAGAATGGTAGTGGGAAAAGATCTGAAAAGAAGCCAGCTGAGATCTTAAATGCCACTGTCTCTCAATTGTAAAACTGGAGGCTGTTTTCTTTTGTATTTTAATTTCCTCCCAGAGTTTGTATCAACACAGCCTCAGAATATGGCCAATAAATAAATGAAAAGCATGAAGGTTGACTTCTATTCTTGTTTTGCCATCACTGTCATCTCAAGAAACTGTATCCTTGGGGAAATGCTAAGAAAAACCAAAGGCCATCTTGCCTGTTGAAAGAGAAAAAAAAAAAAAAAAAAAAAAAAAAAAAAACACCCACCATCAATAAAACCACTTTCTATCTCTAGGATTTCCTTCCCCTCACTTCTCTCACTGTGACCAAATGCCCAACAGAAATATCTTAAGGCAGAAAGTGGTTATTTTGGTCTCACAATTCCAAAGACATTTTAGTTCGTCTGCTGGGGAAGGTATGGCAGTGGGATCATACGGCGGAGAACACCTGCTCACATCATGACAGGACAGGAAGCTGAGGCAGCTGGAGCTGGGGGACAGGCTGTGACCTTCCAAGACTTGCTTCTGACAAAATTCAACCAGACAGATTCCACTTCCTAAGGGCTCCACAGATCCCAAAACAGCACTAGAGTTCAAAGCATGAGCCTGCAGAGGACAGTTCAGATTCACTATTGCTCACCCTGAGAAGTTGATAGTCAACTTGGTCTGAAGTTTGAGTTCAACACTGGATGAGGCAGAGACTGTCCATGACAAGTGGACAATGTCAAAGTGGGTGACATTGAGCCTGCAGAAGAAGAGGAATAAAGTGAAGTGGAAAAGTCAATTTCTAGGTAACCTTGGCTCTTTATCCAGGCTCCAGTGGCTTCCATTCCCTCTATCCCATGCCTGTTCCTCCTAACCTTGATTTTTTTTATTATTTTTTTTTACAATTGATTCATTTTACATCCCAATTGTAGCCCCCTCACTCATCTCCTCCCTGTCTCACCCTCCCTCCCTCACCCCCCTTTCCCCTTCCCCTAGTCTAGTGAAAGGAGGAGTTCTTTCCTGCCATCTGACCCTAGCTTACCAAGTCTCATCAGGACTGTCTGGATCCTCTTCCTCTGTGGCCTGGCAAGGCTGCATCACCAGGGGTGAGTGATCAAAGAGCAGGCAACTGAGTTCATGACAAAGGCAGCTCCTGCTTCCCTTACTTGGAGGACCCACATGGAGATTGAACTGCCCATTGGCTACATCTGAGCAGGGTATCTAGGTCCTCTCCATGCATGGTTGATGCATCAGTCTCTGCAGGGCCTCCTGAGCCCAGATGTTTTTAGCTTTGTTGGTCTCCTTGTGGACCTCCTATACCCTCCAGGTCCTTCTCCAAACCTTGATTTCTATTCTGAGTCCCATTTCTACAAATCCTACATCAGGAGAGTATCAGCCCATAACTGACTTTTAGGTTGATTAAGATGGTAAAACAAAATGCAGACACCTTACTGGAAGCCTCAGCTGACAACTGTGGGATTAGCTTGGAACAAGGTAGTTCTATTACTCACTGGGGACAAAATATAACTAAGAAATAAGTAGTCAGAGCATCTGTGATATGCTTTCCTGGTGTGACTTATAATATAGCAGGGCTCGGACAAACCCACATAAACCCAAGGGATGAACCATGTTAGAGAAACACTAGGCAGTGACTCTGACTTTGGAAGAGGAGATTGGTGACCTCTTGATACCAAATTTTTGAGGGGGAAGGAATGACACTATTTTTAAATTTGTTTTTACTGAGACCACATTTTTATTTATTTATTCACTTTACAGCCCAATTGTAGCCCCCTCTATCCTCTCCTCATAGTCCCACCTTTCTTCCCTCTTCCCCCTATCTCCTGTCCCTTACTCCTCAGATAAGGGAAGCCCTCCACCACCAACCCACACCAGCACACCAAGTCGAATCAGGAAATGAGCGAATCTTCTTCCTGATGTCAATTTTCTAAAGTGAGTCAGACCAATGTCTTTCAGGTACCTGGAACCTTCTCTGACCAGTTATTTAGGTAACAGTTTTATTACTAAAGAGTTCAAACTCACCAGCTGTCGAGTTTTTCAGAATCCATGGTCTTCAGAACATCATTCATGCCAGAGAGACTCCCATGGCCACAAAGGCCACCCAGGGAGCCTTTGCAGACCAGGCCTTCCAGAGCCTTGGTCCCTGCTGCCTCCAGGAGTTCATCTTTGATACCAAATGATACACTGCCACCCAGAAGAAGGATTTGTAGTTCTTCCCTCTCTGTGATTAGATTCTGGTTGTTGAGGATAACAGTGCTCAGTAGCCCTTCCTGGGCCAGGATGTCTGGGCTGATGACAGATGTTGTCAACTATTGGTTAAGGAGGTTACCAGCTGTCTTGATAGTGCTTCCCATTAACTGTGATGAACTGATGGAAGCATCCCCATCACCAGAATTCCCATGAGGACAAGACATTCCTTCCCCAGGGAGATCAGGGTAGTTAGGGTAGGTTACAGCTCTCTCCAAACAAAGCTCATGAGAGACTATGCTGGACCTCAAACTTCATGCACATTCAGTTTTTTTCTTCCCACAGCTGTGGGACCATCTACACCTCCTGATATCTAGACAAAAGAAAATTATGAATTATAACTTCACTTTTATCAATGATTTCCAGACTCTGGCACATAAAACTGGCAAGGCCAGGTCACATGACATGGAGCTTGCCCACCTCATCCCTGCAAACCTATAAGTCAGAAAACACTTTTTGTCCTACAGATTTGAAGGAAAGGCCCTCTGTCTCTTCAGTGCTCCATTATGGCTGCTTATAGCAAAATAATAGCTCTCTCCAAAATGTTCTCCCACATCAGGGCCTTATCCTGGCTGCTTACTGTGATGAACCTGTAGCTCACCTTCAAAACTCATTCTAGCAGCACCCTCCAATGAACCTGCCTTGATTTTCTAACACAAAGATGATCTTGCCTCAGACTTGACGTAACCATTATGTCACCTGGAGCCAGAAGGACCAGAGCCAAAATGCCAGATACCCTAAGCCTAAACTAATTGTGTCTGCTGAATGGTCTAGATTGGTCATGGTCAGTTGATGAAATAAAACCCAGGTAGACCACTCCAGAACTGGCTAAATCCCCAGATAACTCAACTCTCAACTCACTATCCATTGACTTTCCTTCAAAACCATTAGATAACCTAAAGCCAAGTGGACATTTATTGGTCCTGCTCCAGACTGATCAAACCTTCCAGAAGACTGATCAGCATCACCTGGACCTCAGCAACCACAGTGACCTACTATCAGTCAGACCATTTGTTAGAACTGCTCAGATTGAGCCACATCACCAGATGACCCAACCCCAAACTGACCAGAACCACCACCTCAGCCCTGAAAGAACAATGTCCCAGATGAGCATAAAGTTATCCAGTGCCTGTAAATCTCATGACAACCACCACCAAAGGGCTAGACTTCACGGGGCACTTGTGGCCACAGCGGCCAGGACTGCTTATACTCTTTTCACCCATCTGCGCAGAGGATACTTGGCTGGTAATGTCACTTGTGTCCAAGGAGCCTGGAATATTCATCTCAGGTTGATCAAGTTCACCCACAGTGTCCTGAATGTCCTCAGGGACACTTACAGGTAAAGTAACAGTCATAGAATCAAGGAGTTTTCCACTGTCACCATCAGTATTCAGGAGTTCTGTGTTCAACCCATCATTGTCTCCATTTCCAATGCCTGTTGAAACAAAGACATATGGCTGGGTCTGGGGAACAGGCTTCCATTGGGGCCAGGAAAATGGGTGTTCAACCCAGGGCCAGCTGTGGCCAAACCCTGGAGCTGATTCTTCTCAAAAGGAAAACTAAGGTTGTTTGTAGAGGGTTGATCATTACATAAGAAGCTGTATGTCTGAGCTGTGTGCTACCCAAGCACCTGCTTAAGCTCTTACTCATGTTAGCATAGTTAGCACTTAGGGACTGACTGCTTTTGTTAAAAGCATGGACACTCCTGTTTGCTGCTTCCTGGACACATCAATCACCTGCCCACCAAGCTTAGCTCTTTCTCTTGCAAAGTGAAGGCACAAACATAGGCCATTCTTTAACTGGCAGACATCTTGGACTCCAGGCAGAGCAAGCCTCAGAAGACAGAACCCCTGCAGATAAGGACAACTGTCTATGGGGGGGTACCCCAGAGCAGAAGTACTGTCTTGTGAGAATTAGATAAATCTTCTCAAGTGATGATACCAATAACAACTTCAGAACATTCTTCGGAACCAGGATGGAGAACAAAGTAGACCACACCTTGACCATGACTCTTCATCATGCAGACCTGGTGCCCCTTGTCCCAGTTCGTACTCTATTAAACTGTAAATTTCAGAGTCTAAAAAAGAACTCGAGGGTGGTGTGCACCAGACTTCTTTATTTGTTCCTCTTTGAAAATTAACTCTATCTCTCCGTTTCTCTCTGTCTCTCTCTCTGTCTCTCTGCTTTTCAGAGACTAAGCCTCATCTCTCTGCTTTGCTCACCATTGTTCATGTCTTTAATTGGCACTTTGTGGCAGGTGGCTGAGCCTACAATATTGCAGCTGCCAGAGCTCAAGCTTTTGCTCTTTGGGCAAAGTTTCATGAGACTTAGATCATTAGGGTTGAAGGCTACAAAGACCTAAAACTAGGAAGCAGGTATAAAAATGGAAGTTTATGTTGAGACAATCGATAATGGGAAGAGAATAGTTTACATGAAGTAGGTGGTCTGGATACTAAATGTGGTCCAAAAGGAACAAGGGTCTCTGGGGGAGAGTACATTGCCTTCAGAAGTCCAGAGACACCGGCAGATCTATATTATTCTGTTAGGTCAGATACACTAAACGATGTCAGTTTGTCTCTTTGGGGGTTTCCTTGGATGGAATTTGCAAGAGAGATGGGGTGGCTCACCTGATTCGTAACTGGGATCTTCAGATACAACCTGGCTTCCACTAAGCAGGCAGCCAAGAAAGAGGAATGTCCACGAGAGTCTCATGTTTACTACAAGTACCTGTGGATGGAGTAACAGTGATCTGTGACCCCAGAGTCATGTAGTCTTGGGCAAAACTCACCATCGCTCTCTATGTGGCTTTGCCAAGCTTCAGTTTTCCCACCTGTATAAAGCACCCACATCTTACTTTCTTAACTTGGAAGATCCTGGCACTGGGTGTGGAAGTTGGGGCTCCCTTAGGCAGTGGGTTCTTCTGCTTATGTGGTTAAAGCTAGGAAGTTATTTTTTTCCCTTCAAGTTTGTTGTATGACAGTTAATATGATAAGTCCTTTTGAGAAAGGATTGGGAGGAAGAAATAAAGTATGGGGAGGTAAAATGACTTGTCCGAGATCACACAGCTGGTAAGTGACAGAGTAAAAATCCAAAGCAGGCCCCAATTATGTTATAACGGGTGGACTGACAGAGTGGTTGGATGCAGAAGCTAACATCTACTGAGGACCTACTCTGCACTAGTTCCCATGCTAAGTGCCTTTTATTCGCTGTTTAGCAGAAGTAAATACTTCTAACAACCCTAAGATGAAATAAAAGCAAAATGACATGGCAAGGGTCCCTCAGTGGCTAGTGGCAGAGCTAAGACATAGAGACCTTATTGTGTGAATTCATTCTTAGATATTTGGGCCTGAAGGTGAGGGATGCTGGGGTAGAATGAGCTTTTCAGAGATGGTCACACAGCGGTCCTCTTCTCCTGTGTACGTGCTTGTAGAATGACTGATGTTTCTCCCACAAAGATGTAGGTGCTATGTTCCCTATCCCTAAGTCTAGAGCGGTGGAGGTTGGTGATTGTCCCAAAGAATGATGGAGCACACATAAGTGACATTGTGATTCTGTGGCTATGCCACCTAAAGGACATGGCTTCTGTTCTGTCTTTCTTCTTCCCTCTTCCTCCTTGCTTGCCCTTCAAACTCCCAACAGTGAGGAAGTTTAGGCCATGAGGAAAAAGCCTTGGCCATGATGGAATTAAATGTTCAAGTATTTTAAGAAAAGGCAGCCATCCACATGAAAGAAGGGGAGCAATAGGACATAACTTAATGCAAGGATACAAGGGCATAGCCCTTCCGATGTGAAATGGGAAATGGTGTCATTCTGCTCTTAAGTTGTCCTTTCAGGAGAAGCAGGGAGGGGATTATTCATTAATGCAAATTGGAGTTCCTTGTCAAAGTGTCGTGCTTTTTTGACAAGGTTGATTTGATCACTCCTGTGTCCGTAGCCTCTGAAGTAAGCTCTAGCTTACAGCACTAAAAACAAGAGGAGGTATTTAATCTTTTGAGTTTTCTGTGCTGATTTCTGTGCCTGCGTTCAATATTTTTGCCTTAGTTAAATATACTTTATAATTACACATGTCTTATATGCATCTCTTCTGGGACTGCCAGCTTGAACGTTAATCCTAGCCTGTGAGTGACTGAGCCAGACAGAGGAAAAGGTAGCCTCAGTGAGCCTGAAGGTTGAGGGGGGGGGAAAGAGAGAGCATAGTTAACCCTCCTGGAGCAGGAGGAGAATGGTCATGGAATAGTGGGGGTAAGCACGCATCTGATTCTACTTAGAAGGTCCTGAACCTGTGGCCTTGGTCAGGATGATGGCAAATAAGGAAAAGAATGGGCTGTGTAGCTCCTCAGGCCCAAAACGCCAAAGGCACTGATGTATAAGGACATCACAAACACCCTATTAGTCTTCCTTACAGACTAGGCATGGGGTACATCAAAGCAAATACATATCTAGAGGACAAATTTAGTGCCATGATGTCACGTGTTACATGAACTCAGAAACAACTTTGGATAAAAAGTCTTCATCATTTCCTTGAGCCCATGAATTACTTTGGATTTAAAGGGAAAGTCTCCAAGGGCAATTGCCCATAAAGATAAGGCCATTCCCTAGAGCAGAAATTATCTCGTGCAAACCAGCTAGGTCACTTCAAGTGACAGCTGGGGAAAAGGCTTCTTTGACCAGCTCCCCTGTCAGATCCAGAGCTGAGACAATGCTCAATGAGACCTCAGCTTTGGCCAGGACTGCTCAATTGTGCATACCTCTTGCCTCATGCCCCAAGTCCTAGTTAGCGTTAATTGTGAACTTGACTTACTCTAACATCATCTGGGGGAGAATTCTCAATTGAGTAATTGTCTTTATGAGGTTAGCCTGTGGACATGTCTAGAGGAGAGTTGTCTTGACTGTCAATTGACACAGGAGGCAGTGCCCACTCCGGAGGGCACCATCCCTAGCCATGTATGTGGTCATAGGCTGTACAGACGTTAAGCGTGATGGCAAGCAATGTTTCTCCATGGGTTCTGCTTTGAGTTCCCGCGTAAGTTCCTGACTGGACGTCCATCAATGGTGTATTGTGAATTGTCAGTGTAAGCCAAATAAATTATCTTCTTCTGAAGTTGCTTTTGATCACAGTATTTTTAACGCAGCGAAAAGAAAAGAAACAAAACTAGATCACTTCAGTTTTTCCTCTACTTAAATCTAAAGCTGACGCCAGCACACTGAAGGTGACTAGGAAGTCATTACTCCCCTTTGTCTGTTCTCCCCAGTGAACCCACAATGACTAAATTGCTTCTGTTTCTCACCAGTACTTATCTCTTTATGTGGTGCACACATGACATCAGCTCCTGTGGCTGATGGATCCCAGGTTTTGTCCTGTAGCTGTGGTTACAAATTTTGGTGAGCCAATCCAGGAGAAAAGACATCTTTGGGGCTTCCCCCAGCCCAGCAAGTTGACCCCCAATGAGAAAACTTCTTAGATGTTCATATCTTCACTTGTCTGTTTAAACTGCGATCTCACTTCAGGACCTCAGAGTGGACTGGAAGAAGCGCTGGACACTTCAGGATCCAGAAGACTTTCACAGAGATGACCTCTAATGGGGTCATTGCTTCAGCCATCAGATTTTCAGCCCCACATCAACCCAATAACCAGAGTGATTAAGTTAGTATGCAGAATGGCATGCAAGCAATTGTGTTAACTTAGCATGCATGCTTAGATAAGTCAGTATAGATTCATAAAGATTAGTCAGGTGGAACTCTCGCTGGGGTCAGTAAGGTGGCACAGTCTTGGTATTGCCTCTAGTTATGTTAACAGTCTTGAGGTCACAGCCTGTGCCGCAAGCCAGGTTTCGCCCCCTGCTCTCACTAGGACAGTTAAAATAGCCAAATTAATAATAGAAAGCAGGAAAAGGAGATTTTATTTAATAAGACCACATTGGGAAAGGGACAAAGGGATCCAGTGACCACCCAGACTCCCAATCCATGTTTAGGTTTAAAGTGAGATTGAAATTTAAATAGAAGGTCAAGGATATGCCCATCCAAGAAGTCCTGGTCAAGAAGTTGGGTACCATTGGCCCATCATTGTCTGGTTTCAGTCTCAGCCTGAAGGTGGCCTGATGAATTGTTAGAACTGAGTGGAATGTTTTTCCAGGACACCAGCTTTTTCCCTGGGGGCACATTTTTTTTCTCCCAGGATGAATCTTTTGGGGGAATTCCCATTTCTTTGGAGTTCATTGTTTCAATACTCTGATAGTCATATTTGGAGACATGAGTGTCTCGTTAGAATGCCTTTATTTCCGCCAGGCTGTTACAGTTACTCAAATCACAAAATTCATCTACCAAATACTCTTGTTTCTCAATGTGCCTAAAACCCATTTCCTGCTAGTTCCCAGCACAAGTTACAGAATTCAGGCTTCTCTGTCACATCAGCAGGTACCTAAATAGTTCAAAAGAACACTAATGAGTCAAAAAAGTCCCGCTCTTCCCCAGCAAGGAAACCACCTTCTTGTCAGACAAATGATAGAATTCAAGTTCATTCATAAATAACCAAAAGAAACTTGAAAAAAAAATAAGGATTTTTATCTTTGTTTTCAATATATGAATATGTATATTTCAGTATGTAAGTTTGTACATGTGAGTGCAGTGCCCTCAGAGGCTAGGAAAGAATGCCACATCCCCTGAAGCTGTGAGTGGCCTGATATGGACACTAGGACCTGAACTTGGATCTTCTTCAAGAGAAGGACATACTATTAGCTTAAGAGCCATTTCCCCCGCCCTTCAAAAATGACAAGGAAAGGGGAGAGCAAGAGTTGAGATCTGCAGATCCAGGGGAATTTACCTAGAGTCTAACTTCAGGACCTCTAGAGTCTCAGCACTCATTTCTTTGTCCTACTGGACAATGGTAGAAAGCAGCTAACAGAAGTGAAAATATAAGGAAGAGCCTCCATAATAAGTTAACTCCAGAAGCTCTATGGGACCGTTGATCTGGGTTTGGGGTCCTGAAGTGAAACCGCAGTTTAAACAGACAAGTGAAGATATGAACATCTAAGAAGTTTTCTCATTGGGGGTCAACTTGCTGGGCTGGGGGAAGCCCCAAAGATGTCTTTTCTCCTGGATTGGCTCACCAAAATTTGTAACCACAGCTACAGGACAAAACCTGGGATCCATCAGCCACAGGAGCTGATGTCATGTGTGCACCACATAAAGAGATAAGTACTGGTGAGAAACAGAAGCAATTTAGTCATTGTGGGTTCACTGGGGAGAACAGACAAAGGGGAGTAATGACTTCCTAGTCACCTTCAGTGTGCTGGCGTCAGCTTTAGATTTAAGTAGAGGAAAAACTGAAGTGATCTAGTTTTGTTTCTTTTCTTTTCGCTGCGTTAAAAATACTGTGATCAAAAGCAACTTCAGAAGAAGATAATTTATTTGGCTTACACTGACAATTCACAATACACCATTGATGGACGTCCAGTCAGGAACTTACGCGGGAACTCAAAGCAGAACCCATGGAGAAACATTGCTTGCCATCACGCTTAACGTCTGTACAGCCTATGACCACATACATGGCTAGGGATGGTGCCCTCCGGAGTGGGCACTGCCTCCTGTGTCAATTGACAGTCAAGACAACTCTCCTCTAGACATGTCCACAGGCTAACCTCATAAAGACAATTACTCAATTGAGAATTCTCCCCCAGATGATGTTAGAGTAAGTCAAGTTCACAATTAACGCT